CTATGATGTCAATTACAGGCCTCTCTCATCTTTTTAAGTGGGAGAACTTGCACAATTGGTGACTGACTAAATACTTATTTTCCCCACTGTATTTCGCATAGATGCTAAGTTAACATTGAAAACACCATACAGAAGCTAACACAGTTAGCATTGTGTTTATTACTGAAGTTTCTACACAAACCCAACATTTCCAACTCATTAATAAAGTCAGTCATGTTACTTCCAGACAGTTATTTAGCCAAGAAAATTTTTAAAAAATGTGAAGTTTCTTCCAGGATAATTAGCTTTAAAGTACCTGTGACATCAACTTTTTGTAATAAACATGAATGCATTTTTGAAAAGATAACATTAATAACATGTTGCAAAACAAATTTCACGTCGCTGAGATGAACGGTTGTTGAGATATTTGTTTGTGAAGAAACAGGAAGTGATGTCAAAGGGGAATGTCTGCATGTAAACAGAGCGTTTTTACAAAAGCTAACAACAGACTGTAGAGAAGAATCGGATGTTTCTTTAGATCATTTTAATATCTAACAAAGAGAGACAAAAACAAGTTAAAGTTTAAATAATTTTGTTTTAATAAAGAGATCAGAGAGTTTAATTTATTAATGAGTTCCCCTTTGATGTCACTTCCTGTTTCACTTTGGCTGAGCCAAATTAAAAAGAAAATAGGCCAGTTATGTGACAAAATGGGTAAAATCGTGTGTACTGTGCCAACTTTCCTAAGTATAAAGATGCTTTCTTTGACTTTTTATATTTGAAGGATGGGCATGTCACAGTCACTTTAAAGTTTTAGTTTTGCCTCAGTGGGATATAAACCGTGTTTGGCACCGATCTGAGATTTGTTCGCTGTATTTGTTCATCAGGCAGGACAGTTTTTTTTTTAAAGAATCCCTTTTGTATGTCTGCAGGAGTGTACAAAGAGCTGTGTCTACAGGTCATCAAACACAAGCATGAATGTGAACTTCAAGGAGCGAGGCAGCATCTGGAGGTGACGCAACAAAAACTCCACCTTTTTCATCTTCTTTCAGTTGTTCCTCCTTCAGGAGTCACCTCCGTGTCCTCTAACAGCATCCATTTCTGCATCTCTAACATCCTTCTACCTGTAACTCTTCTGATTAATAAAGAAATGTTCTCTACGCTGCAGAGCGAGCGCTCCCTGCTGTTCGACGCCATGAAGGCAGAGCTGCTGGAAAAGATAAGACGGCTGGAGGAGGACCGACAGAACATCGACCTGAGCTCAGGTAAACCTTTGTCACAAACACCTTATTTTATTTAAGTAGCAAAATGCTAGCTAAAACTAAAAGTACTAAAAATGTTTGCTAAATGTAAAAGTAACAAGGTACTAGCTAAAACTAAAAGTAACAAAACACTAGTTTAATCTGAAAGCAGCATGATGCTAGCTAAAACATAAAGTAGCACAATTAAAGTAAAGTAAACGTAGCTGAACGTTAGATAAGTGACATCCATATGCTTCAAATGCAAAAACCCAAACATCTTTATATTTAAGAACCTGGCATAATACAAGATATTACTCTTTTTTTTTTTTTACAAAACTATCATCAGCCAAAAGGAAACAGGAAGTGACATCAAAGGGGAACTCTTAAAGAAAGTGAACTTCATTGCCTTTGTTTATTAAGACAATATTATTTGAACTCTGACTCTTCTCTCTGTGACTCAAAATAATCTAAAGAAGCATCAGATTATTTTCTACAGTCTGTCTTCCATTGTGGCAAAGCTTTATTTACATGCAGACATTCCCCTTTGACGTCACTTCTTGTTACTTCACATGCAAATTTCTCATGAACTCTTCATCTCAACGGCATGAAAATATTTTTTGCAACACGTTATCAATGTTACGTTTCCAATTATTCATTCAGGTTTATTGTAAAAAATTGATGTCACAGACACTTTAAACTAAAAGTAGTTGGCTAAATGTAGAAGTAGCAAGATGCTAACTAAAACTACAAGGAGCAAGATGATAGCTAAAACATAAAGTAGCAGAAAGCTAACTGAAAGTACTATGCTAGTTAAAACTGGAACAACCAAAATGCTAGCTGAAGCTAAGTGTAGCAGACAGCTAGCTAAAACTAAATGTAGCAGAAAGCTAACTAATACTACTAAAATGCTAGCTAAACAAAATGCTAGCTAAAACTAAATGTAGCAGACAGCTAGCTAAAATTAAATGTAGCAGAACGCTAACTAATGCTACTAAAATGCTAGCTAGACTAAAACAAGTAAATTCTAGCTAAAACTAAATGTAGCAGAAAGCTAACTGAAAGCAATAAAATGTTAGCTAAAACAGAATGTAGCAGAAAGATGATAAAGCTAAAAGTAGCAAAGGAGTAGCTGAAAACTAAAAATGCAATTAAACTAAGCCAAACAAAAGTCTAGCCAAAGCTTAAAGTAGCTAAAAGTTTGTAATTGACTAAATGTTAGCTAAACCTTAAGGTAGCAAAAAGCTAAATTAACTAAAATAATACAATTCTAGCTAAAGGTAAAATTAAAGCAGAACATTGGCTAAAAAAACGAGCCAGTTTAAAGAGGAAAATTTCAAAGAGAAGTTTGTGACTGAAAAGATTCACTGAGGGTAAAATATAAAAAAAAAACCTTAATATTTTGAAAAGTATGAAGCTGAATGTTTTGATATATTAACAAATATGCACAAAGTTTTCAAAAGAAGCTTGGCTGAAAAACAAAAAAAAAATGTCAGTTTGAAAAGCAAACTTTAAGCAGCAAGATAACATTTTTCTGGAACCTCTTTATGTTTAAATAAAGTTTTATTTTGACTGTTTGTCCTCTTCTAGAGTGGAGTGATGAGATGAGGAGCAAAAAGTGTAAAAGGAAGAACCTGCTGGGTCGTTCAGACAGGAAGAAGAAAGTTGCTCTGGTTTCAGGTAAAATAATATCTCAACCGTTATAATAAAGCGTTGGTCCTGTTAGACGCTCAGATGAATAAATGAGTTCATCACAGGGCCGTTCATCGTCTACATGCTGAGAGACATCGACATCCTGGAGGACTGGGCTGCCATCAAGAAGGTGCTCAAACTTAAATCGTCACTTTTAATCACTTTCTGAATTGTTACTCAAATTGCTCCTGTTTTTTCAGGCTAAAGCTGTTCTGTCTCCACTGAAGAAGAAAGTAGAAAGTGAGTTTTATTAAGGTTTAACTCAGCCTCGGACACGTGCAGCTCGGTCTGTAACTCCTGTTCTGTTTTCAGAGCGGTGATAAGAAGAGCATCAGAGCGGTGAAGACGCTCACATTCCCACTTTGTTCCAGCGACACGTCCGGTTCTGTCTTTGACTGAAACTCAGCAGACTGTTCCCACCCCACCACGGCTTGTTTTGTTACCTGTTCCTATTTAAAACACGTTCTTATCGATGTGATGTTTATGTATTTATAGAATGATTTATAATGACGATTAAAATTTTAATCTTTTATGACACAAGTCTCTTTGGTCCTGCTCTTAGTGACAAAAGTGCGTCACTGGATTTTTATCATTTGACAAACGTTTGGATGATGTTCTGTTTCAGGTTGAAACAGGAGCGCTGTAATGTTTACATCTATGGACTGCTGCGTCAGCGCCCCCTTGTGGTCTACAGAGGTCTGTTTAACACTGGTGGATGGTTTGGTCCATGTTCAGTGATGGTTTACCTGTTCAGAAATATGCAAAACAATTTAAAAGTGATCTGTAGGAGCAAAGAATATCTTACCTGCTTTTGATGGTGCTTCAAACGACCTCAGTTTTGGAGAAATTGGCACAAAAAGTTWAAAAAAATTCAGTTTAGTCTATTTATTTCTGTGTTTTAATAATGTTAATTATACTGTTAGAAAGCCTGTTTGTTTCACCTGATGTGACATTTATTCATCTCCGTTCTAAGACAGCAACAGCCTCCTCCACAGACCGGGTTTATCAGAGGCCGCCTCCAGACTTTAGCCAGCATTTTGCTACTTTTAGTTTTAGCCAACGTTTTTGCCATTTGTGGCTTTTAGCTACTCTTTTGTAGCATGTAGTTTTAGCTAATATTTTCCCCACTTTTAGTTTTAGCTAACACTTTGTTACTTCTGATTTTAGACACCCATTTACAAGTTTTAGCTGGTCTTTTGCTACTTTTAGTTTTAGCTAACATTTTTGCCATTTTTAGATTTTAGTTAGCTTTTATTACTTTTGGTTGTAGCTAATGTTTTCCCACTTTTGGTTTTAGCTGACCCCACCCCCCTATGCTTACCTTGCCCTTTGCAACTTTTATTTTATTTTTTTATTAATTTTTTATTTTAACTTTAAGTGTTAGCTAATAAATTTATTATTTTAGCATTTAGCTAGCCTATTGCTACTTTCAGTTTTAGATAGCTTTTTGCTAATTTTAGTATTGGCTAGTGTTATCCCACTTTTAGTTTTAGCTAACATTTAGTTGATCAAATATTTTTGCCTATTTTAGATTTTATCAAACATTTTACTACATTTAGTTTTAGCTATTTTTAAAACCATTTTAGCTATCGATATCCTTGACGTGAGTTCCTCTCAGGCGTTCTGTTTGATCCAGATGGACCAACACAAACACGCCAACCGTCTTAGAGCAAACACTGGTTGAAGAATGGGACATCGTAGAAGCATGAGGAAAAGCTGTTGTGGCTGCRTAGGGTTCTTCCACACGCTGCTGAGGCTCCTGTTTGTTAAACAAATTAAATTTTAAATGGTCTTTTTGGCTAGAAGATAGTTTAGAAAGTTTTTTTAAGGGCACAACCCACACCCTGAACTAATTTTTCTAACAAACATGGTTGCAGTTAAAGGGAAATAAAAATATTTTAATGGTATAAGATTTACTACCATTAGAATTGTTACAAGAAAAACACAATCGAAAACAAAAGTCCATATTTAGTTGATGCTAAAAGAATGCTTTATATGGAGGTGTACCCGCCAACATACATGCTTTCTACATTTTGGTCAAGAAGTATTTTTTATTAATTAATTAATTTCTTCTGGATGCTCCTCGCTTTGTTTCCCTCCATCCTCCCTCCTCATCTTCTCACAGCTGCTTGCTGAGTTTTCGCGCTTGCCTCTCTTTGGCCTCGAAGGCCGCCTTGGTATCCAGGAGCTCGTCCAGCAGCCGGCGGATCCGGGCCATGTCGAGCTGGGTGGCCTCGCAGTGTTCCCTCAGGGCGGCCGACTCCACCCTCAGCTGGGTGGCGGTCAGGGAGAGCTGCTGGCTGCGTTCGCGGCACTGCCTCTGCATCCTCCTGGCGTCAGTCAGGAGGGACTCCACGCTCACCGCCACCGAATCGAACTGGGAACTGGATATTTCCTGAACAGAAATAAAGAGGCCGATTGAGTACACTCATAAAAAAGCAAACACAATAAGCATCACGAGTTGGTGTTATCAGGTAGTTGCCTGTGCGTCTGGCAGTCAGAGAGTTAAAATGTAAAATTGCCAAAAGAGAAAACACTAAAAACAAGCTAAATTTGACATTAAGTCTTCTGTGTTCACAGTCATTACATATTCTTTTACTATCTTTATTTGACTTTTTATTTATTTATTTATTTAGTAATTTTTACAGAAACAGCTAATGTTAATGTAACAGTTAATGTTTGCTAATTTGCATGGGGTGGGTGTATCGATTCAAGTATCTATACCAAATTAAGTGTAAAATAAAGTAATTTGGAGTTAGTCATTAGCTGAAATCCTTCCTCGTGCCTATTTGTATCGGAAGTTGTTTTGTTTTTTAATGTAATTTTCCCCTAATTCTTACTTAAATAACTTGTATGTAGTAGAACACGGGTCAAACTGAACATATTTCAAGTAGGAAGTAGCGGTACAGGCGATATACTATCTTTGTGTTTACTTGGACTGATGCAAAGCCCACCCCTTTGAGGTCAGCCCACTGCAGCTACTTTACTTAAACACGCCCACAAAGTTCTGACCAATCAGAGAGCTTGACACATAGTGCTGTTACAAGAAAAGCAAACTACACAATTTTTGATTCGGTCGAGCTAAAAATGAAAAAGGAAACTTCTCAGAGACTCAAAGGTTGTCTGTGAGGTTCAGCACAGGTCACCAGGTTTAAAACTGAACATTTGATCTGAGCGAAGCAGCTTAAAGAAGCTTATCAGCACACCGCTCCTCTTCTTCCAAAGCTTTCTAACCTGTAAAATGAGTCAGAACGTCTCACCATCGCTTCCAGAGTCTTGATCTCGAGCCTTCTGGTCCTTCTTGAGCTTCAGGCCTGAACCTGTAATTTCCTGCGCCTCTAAAAAAAAAATAAAGCAGAGAAAACTCCAGGAACTCTCCTTTTTAAGGTTGGATTTATAAAAGGCAGAACCAGTGAAGCTTCTGTCCTGTCGCTCTCTCAGAGGCAGTGTTACCCTCTACGTCAGGCGCGATGAGGTCAGGTAATCCACAGATAAAACGGTTGGAGAAAGATGCCAAGACAGATTTAATCTGGATTTATACTCGCAGCCCATAATCAATACCTGCCTGATTTGAACTGAAAGGTCTTAAAAATGTTATTTCTCTGTTCTGCTAATAGTGTTTGTTTATGAAAGTTCCTAATTTTAAAAGATAAAACTGCGTTTGTTACATTTTTAAATGTAAACGTCACCGTTTTTTTTTTACTGATGCAATGTGGATGATGATGGGTTTCAGTTAAGACTAAATTACAGAGTCTGCTCAGTGTGTGTGTGTGTGTGTGTGTGTGTGTGTGTGTAAAAATCATCAGAATCATCAAAACATTTGAAAGAATAAAACTTTGTGTAACTCAGTTCTTATTCTAAAATTTCAAATAAAACTTTTATCACTTAATTTTTTTTATTGTGATAAAGGGATAAAAGGGTTTATGGTAGAGGTGGGATTAACTCCCTTCTTTCCGCTAGGGGGCTCTGTAGGTTGTTTACGTTTGCTCTGAAG